CAAGAACAAGCTAGAAGCTTAAAGGTTCATAGAACCAACGCACGAATTGCACAGGAGAACAAGTCAGAACGACTTGAGAACTAATTTTATTTATGCATTGAGATTTTATGATTAATCCTACTCTTAGTACCCTACACTAAATTAATTACTATAACAGTAATTATAATATGCAGACTTCGTTATGGGACAATGTGTCGTCTTAACATCTGTGTATGATGTACTTAGTACAGCGTTCTCGACTATCGAATCGTAATCGATAAGATACGGTATTACCGAATACCGTAATCGATAAGATACGGTATTACCGAATACCGTATCTTAACGATTACGATTCGATAGTAGAGGTATTAAGTATAAGCGTTAAAGATACGGTATTACCGAATACCGTATCTTTAACGCTTATACTTGATACCTCTCTAAAGAGAAGTAGTATCAAGCATACATTATATGCAATTAAGGAAACTTCAGCCGTAAACTTTTGGAATGATTTTCCAACCGTCGTGTACCCCGTTACATGTCCAGCTCGAAGGGGTGCAATCTTTTCAGCTTGAGTGAGGTATGCGACCCGGTTTTCGTCGTACTTGGCCATTAGACCGTATTAAGCTCACATAATGTGTAGCAGACAGCGTTGTCAAGCACCTGCGCGTCGTCTCCGCCACATGCACCACTCACTGCCACCAAGTAGAGGTAATGCTCGGGCCAGATCCTCTTTACATCATTTTTAGCTGTAAGTTGCTTCCTTGACTGGGATGCTGTAGGGCTGTATTGAACGTCTGATGCAGCCACTCCATGACATGTGGAATTGTCGGAGTCTGGTGCCACCACGTCTCGACCTGCTTGTTGTAGTATTGCTCAGCCGAATCACTCAGGTAGTGATCAAGCAAATCGTTTTTCACGTCTTCGGATTAGTCAATGATACATGCCGCTTGAGCGTACTGGACCTGACGCATAAATGCAGGTCCCCAGTCAGGAATTAGCCTCGATACAGCTTGGAGCCATCAAACTTCCGAAACGTCAGCCGTCGTTAGCGCTCATCTGAATCTCGCATTGCTCGCTGCGCGTCCGAATCCATCCTTCTCGCGTAATCTTGAGCCACCGCGAGCTCCAATCTAGAATACGGTGCGCGCATCGGTGGCGCTGCTTATGGTGCCCTCCATTCTGGCGCCGCATGATGGACTGCTTCATGATGTAGCATGCTCGCGCGACCTTGTCTAGCTCTTGTACGCACCGGGCAATGCAAGAGTGCATCGATAAGCGAAGTTGCGCCACCGCGATTGTTGGAAAGCACAGAACGGAACATTTCTGACTCAATCACGCACATCATCCGCTCGTCTTCATCGATTTCTGCTGCGGGACCTCCATTTGCATTATGGCGCGCTTGGAGGTCGACGAAAGTCGCGAGTATCTGCGTGTTGTCGTCGTCGACTTTCGTAAGCCGTCGGTACGCCTTAGCTACCGCTGGCGACGCTGCGGTCCTTTCGTGGCCGTCGTCGAAGCTGACTGGCGTTGGCGCGCATAGTTCGCCGTCGGAGCCAGTTGTTGGGCTTATAACCCGTTCAAGTAGATGCGTAGTACTCACTAGGTGGTTATTGAATACTAACATGCAATTGGTCCTTAGTTCGCTAACAAGAGCTACCTCAAAGCCACTCCTTTATCATACTAGACTCACTATACCATACTCACTGATTTACCTTGACCAATGACTGTAAACGCACTCGTAATTACTGACCGTCATCATGTCCGTAATCCTGCGTCTGTTCAACAGGCGCTCAGCGGTGAGATAGAGTACCTGACCTTCAACATTCCCATCTTCAACACTTTATTTCTTCTCAGCAGTCTGAACTCTGGGGCGGGAGCCTTTCTTGTTTAAGGAGGGTTCTGGCTGCTCAGGTTTGCGTTTTATGTTATTTCATTTCTCTTATGTTCAGACTCACGAACTCTGATAAGATTATACCTCTACGTCAATCGTACCCATAACTTAGCGGTCAAAATTCTGTATTAATTATAGTAAAATGGAAAAAAGCCTTATGATACGGAGAGGGCTTATCCTTTCTTGCTCACCTTGAATTTATCAAAATCTGATTGGTCAGAATGCCAAATCGGAAACATCTCATCAAAAATACAAAAAAATAAAGTAATATAGGAATTACAATCCCCAATCTAATCAATATAAAATGAAGCTTTTAATGAGATTCGCGCGAATCAGTCAAAGATGTCGAACGCCTTATCTTGTGTATTACACTATCGATAAGCATAACGAGTGACAGAGATGATGAAATTCGAAACAAACTTAAGCGAGATGATCGCTGGATTCTGAGTATGGCTGATCTTAACTTTTATTCGAATAAGTTTCTTCTTGGCTGTAGACCTTTTGCAATCTTGAACCCTTTTTAATTTAGAGATGCTACATCAAGTCGTGCAAGGATATATTAGCTAGCTATTTACTCCTGAGAAACCTTGACTTTTGACTTAGTAAGTCTCTTGCATAAGGTTACGTTCACAAGAGTCTTAGATATCGACATCTAAGACTCTCGCCTTTATAGTTGATATTGGCCGAAACATGGTTGTTTATGATGTCAACGGTCGCCCTAAGGACCTCATGATTTTCGATGAAATACATTATTAGTCCATTGGAAGAGTAATTCAGTGATTCCTTATTCGGTTCAAGCAGATCGGGTTTTTAAATAAACTTACGTGCTGACCAGACAAGGCTTTCATCGCCTTTTGGTTATATAATCTCTGAGCTGGCTGACCATTCGACGCCAATGCGAAGTTCCACTTGAAATGGTTGCGGTTGTCAAATGTTACCCTCATTGATGCATTCCGATTGAAAAGTTGCCGGATAAACAGACCGAGACGCTACGAGCGGGAGCAAGTGTCGTATAGACAGACGAAGACGTGATTCGTGTAGTCAGTCATATTGAGATTTGGTTATGGTTTTGATTCACTCCTGCAAGTTCTAGATTATGGTCATTTTCTTTAGACAGACGAGAAACGATTATGATGTCCTGCATCATGACAACACCTGCCTAAAAATCGGTTGCATCGTTGTCTTGAGGGTGATCAGTGGAACGGGTTCACTGAAAAAGCATCATTATTGTAACAGGTTGGATTGACCTAATGAAATGTCTCTATCAGTTCTAACGAGATTCATTAAAGTTGTCGACAAAGCCAGCAAGTAAAATTTCAACGGGCTCAAGCGATGATAATGCTCATGCTTGCAACCACACTTGTAGTGATAACATAGAGGAAGATTTACAAATACTCGACAAAAATTCGGTTGAGGGTGAAAATTGGGAATAAAGATTGGACAAGCTACTGCGATTGGTATCATAACGTGGAAGGGACGGGTGAGAACTAGGTACTGTATGAAAAATGATCTAATGATTTGCTACGACAAATTAACGATGAGGGAGCCAAAGTGGTGCACAATAGACCAGGAGAGATACTACGACTGGCGGTGTCCCCGCGCCACGCGTCAATGCTTCGACAATAACGCACAAGTCAGCTCAACGGACCGCGCAAGCAGTCATTAAGGTTTCTACACCCCACGACACGCGCCGTCGCTCCGGTGACCGCGCATTTTATACAAACGGGCCGCTCGAGCGGCCTATAAGGACATAAACAACGGACACGTCTGCTGCTATGCTGATGCAGCATAGCCGGACAATTCCGGGAGCGTCACCCCAGATGGCAAGCTCTGTACAATCAGCGGACTCGATCGACACCCTGCGTTGCTAACCAGGCTTAGGAACTACCAGACATCCTGCAACCCCTGAATGGTTAAATAGACTCGTCTGTCCCTCTCTCTATCTCCGTCGTCAAGTCTGCATGAATAAAAGAGACATTATTTATCACCTCAGCGTGCTTCCACAGCTTTGATCACACAAACCTTATCGTCTGTTGTTGTCTCTTGATAGTTTAATCTACCACTTTCCCTACGTGGCTTCTTTGGCACATCACGCAGAATAGCCAGCGTGTCTTTTCTTCAGCCACTCTATCGAAACCCCTTTGAAACGAACCTAAAATGTCCCTCCACGAACGTCCGTCGACGAATTTTCGTCCACGATCCGACACAACTTTCATTAAAGCTGTTGGCGGTCAACGAGTTAGACGATTTAGGCTTTCCTTGCATTTCTCACCTGGAATGGCGATAGTTTTGTCTTTAGAATAATTGCAACGGGGGTACATCGATACATCGATAAATCAAGGACACCATAAAGATCATCTTGTAGGATCTCCTCTTTTTCGAAAATTCGATTGACGAGGAAGTCGACAATGGAATGATCATCGTCGGTCCGTTAAAAAAACCTTGCCGACCATGCAATATACATGCTTAAACGCAGTAAATTTGAAACAGTGGCGCAGCTGCCTTGCGCGAGAAGCTTTCTGGTAACCATATGCCTACGATGGCATATTCGATTAAAATCAATGCCATGGCATATGAGACCTTCAAGAAAATCTACCGCCTAAAAACTAAGCATATGCTTTCGCTCGCTTAGGCGTAATTCTTGCACAGATTAGTGTTGTGTTGTGTTGTGGGTGATTGCTCAATCTGTAGTTGGAAACTTGTTGTGGACTGTTTGCACCCAGGAGTTGAGCTTCTACCTGAAGCACCAGTTGAAGGATTGGTGCCGATTTGAGGCGAATCGTCGCTCGCTGCTTGTCCGATTCAACAACGAGCTGTTCGTGATATCCAAGCCAAACGATGTTACGAACCAAGCAAATGGTGCGCTATGCGGTTCTCATAGTCCAGAAGTTTTGCAAAACGAAAAGTATGTGCGTCCTTTTGTGCATACGGCTTAGATTCAATATGCCTAATTTCGTTGTTTGGCTGTATCATCCCGTTGGCACTACAACAGTTCGTCGAGCGTTGGCAGCGACCAACAATCAGACGGAATAATACCCACGAGTAATCCCATGTACTTGGGCAAGCCAAACAAACTTGTGAAGTATGTGACGTGGCATTCCGGAATTCTCTTCGAAGATATCAAACGATCATGACCACGCTCCCAGACGAAACGTCCCCATTGCTTCCTCTTTCTCATGGGCCCCTTCCGTCCGGTAGAAAATATCATTATCGTCGTGAATCGTTCGAGACGGGGTTCCCGCTTATTGTTGCTGAAGAGATTGATGTCCAACAAATTGTTCAAGAGCACATATCGTCGAAAAGGAAACCTGAGTGGACTACAGTCTCCCCGTCGCCTTGTCAATGGTTGAAACGTAATTGTGCCGTGTCATTTACCCTGCTAATGTCGGCAATTGGTGCTGGTACATTGGCGGTGCCCTATACTTTTGTGCTGTTGTCACCTGTCCAGGCGATACTGATGTTGTGCTGTGTCGGACTTGCAATGGGCTTTACAGCTGATACACTTGTGGGCATTCATGTATCGGTAGCAGTGGAGAGCACGAGTGGACCGCAAGGGAATCGAGAGACGTACCAAAATCTTGCCTATAGAGCTGGTGGTAAAGCATTGGCTCGATTCACTGGAGCATTGACGGCTTTTGCAGTCTTTGGGGCGTGTGTGGGCTGTGTGCGTGTGGTGAAGGACATGGTGCCGATGATGCTACCGGCTGTTATTGCTGGGTTTAAACAACAACCATTGGAAATGCAGGAACATGATGCAGTTATCGCAGTTTGGGTCGTGGGGCTGATTGTGGTGGTGCCTTTGGGATGTTTGACTAAAATTTCGGCGCTGCGCTTTTCCTCATACTTGGGCGTTGCATTCTCGGTGTATCTCGTAGGTGCTGTAGCATACCGTGCTATTTTCACAGGCGGTAACGATGACAGTAATGCATTGCCAGCGTCGGTCCAGAATACTGAAGCACCGTTGTTCTGGCGCATCGCTGAAGTCGTGGGAATTTACAATTTTGCGTTCATGCTTCACCTCAATGTGATTCCGTTGTTCGCACAGCTTGTGGCTGCTGAAACGACAAGAAGCCAACGAGTACATGACAAAGATATTGAGGAACTTGGCAGGGCGGAAGCCCCTGTGTCCATCCACATCCTGCAAAGTGCTAGACAGTCATTGCGACGTCATCTAATTCTAGCTGTAGGCACGTGTGTGGTGCTTTATGCAATTTTTGGCGTTTGCGCCGCACAGATCTATGGAAGCAAAACGCAGGGCAACATTTTGCTGAACCTCACGAATGACCGAATCATGGCGGTACCTCGCGTGGCAGTGTTGTTGACGATATTGTTTTCGTTTCCACTCTTATTCCACCCGCTTCGGTCGTTAGTGCTCGAGATGATTTTGGTTTGTACTTCTCACAGCGCTGTTAAAAATGTGAGCGAGGGACACAATCAAGATAATGAACTGTCACGAACTGTACGAGCTGCCGTGTCGGGGCTGCTGTTATTTGCACAGATCTTCTGCGCTTTACGTGTGCCAGGAATTCAAGTGGTGTTCTCGCTTGTGGGATCTAGCATCTTGCTGATGCTGTGCTATCTGTTTCCACTGATATTTTACGTACAACTTGTACCGTGGCGCTCCAGTCGTAAGGGAAAGACACGCCTTTTTCTCCTGTCAGCACTGGCTGTGGTCGCATTTGTAGTGTGTGTCGCTGCCACGCTGCAACTGGTTTTCCAGTAATCGCCTCGAGCAGCAAGCGGAAACTTGTAAACGTCTTGGCAATGACGTTGCTGCGATTGTGTATTAGGTCAAGATCGTGAGTTAGAATTATTAGAAGGTATCAGAACGATGTGAAAGGTTGCATAGGCTTAGAGGTAGCAAACAATTTGCGAACTAAGACCTGCATATATCTGTACTTTGCGTTTGCTCACCTGACCTGTACTTTACCTTATGAGCCCGAGCGACATCACCATGTCGATATCAACTCCACGAGGTGACCAAGAAGGGTGCGCTTACACATGTATGCCATATTACTAAGCTATCTCGAAACTTGTTTTCGATTGGCCGCTTCACCAAGGATGTTAGCCCAGTCACCTTCAAGCGTGGCGGTTGCTCTGTTAGAATCAAACGATCTTCGATGGAAGCTCGGCGATCGCGAAGGTATAGGGCGAAAAAAGGCATCGTATGATACCGATTGTGGCGGACGAGGCTAATGTAAGAATCTCGATAGGATGCCATGGGGACACCACTTTGTACCTCTGGGCCCTTCGACCTGGTCATATTGGCCATGGTGGTCTCAATACTATCGCCAAAAAGAACTATGGCGTTGGTAATGACATTGCGTCAGTGAAGCAGTGGGAGATGTGTGACAGGTGCTCAATCGACGAGCAAACACGGCTGCGCTACAGTAAGTCGTCACCTAATTGCGCGAAAGCAAGTGCTGAGAGTCATTCATAGCGATACGGGTGGCCCCAAAAAACGTCAACGTTAAAGAAAAATCTACTTCGTCACTTTCATTAACGACATGTCATGTAACAGGGTATCTAGTTACACGTAAACATTAAGTAATATACTTAATGTTTGGTCTAAAAGTATCCATGATTACTTTTCACCTATCACTTGGGTGCGATACACAAATGTGATCCACCCTCGTGAATGTGATATCCATTTATGGATTCACATGAGAAGGGATGACGCTAGTTGAAGCTACGCATCACGACGTCTCAGAAGGACGTCAGTTGCGATCTTAAATCTAGATTTAAGATCATGCGACAGGATACGCTTCTAAAGAGTCGCGTATCCGATCAATATATATATATATATATAGCCAATCAGTAGTTAAGTATATATTTAGTTATAATTAATTAAATATAGCTCAGTCTTGAATTTACTTCAACAAACGCACCACGCACGAGAAGTTGAAAGACTTCTGCGTGACGTCGGTGTTATAAGTGTTAAGAAGTTCGTTGCACTCTCGCTTAAGCGAGAGGCAACTGGTGGTACGACTGCTTAAGCAGTCGACCAACCTCCCAACCACCCTCGCACGCGAAGGTAAGACGGTATAACCGCTTCCTCGCTTGTGCATAAGGTGTGTGCTCGTAGTACGAGGCAACTTCGTAGAAGTGCCCGTCTACACTTGGTAGCACTAGTAGTCCTTCCCACGACCCGTCTCTCTGAGCGTGCATGTGGTTGACATGGTCGTTAATATGGACTGGAGTGACTTCCCTCACCTCTCCCAACATCATAGGGAGTTGGCAGAGCATATGGCACAAAGACTTGGTGAACAAGCCCTGTTCAACCTCTTGCATTGTCCTCCTGAGCAACATGTTGCTCAGTTGGAGCAATTTGAGGCGTTTGTGCTCGGACAGCGTAGAAACGCGTCCGAGGTAAACAGCCAAGCCACCGCTGAGTCCATCACTAAGACTCAGGATGAGCTTAGGCTTGAGCAAGCACGTAATGAGGCGCTCAACAGAACTGTTGAGACGCTCTCTGCCCGGCCTGCTCAACCGAGGCCCATTCGGATGGACCCTCCGAAGTTCGATGGAACTAGCCCTCACGCGATTTTTCACTGGCTATTAGCAGTTGAGGAATGTAGAGTGGCACAACTCATCGAAGACGACACCAGAATGGTGTCGTATGCCATGTCCAACTTACGTGGCAAAGCGTCAGAGTGGGCATACTCTTCGCTGATGGCAATTGCTGATTCATTTCTATCATGGGCGATCTTTAAGTCAAAGATTCGCGCCATGTACTAGCCGCCTAACAACGAAGTGTTGCTTATGGCGCGCTTCTTTGGAGCACGACAGGCGAAACGCTCTCTGCAAGAGTTTGTGCAGGAGATGCGTTCGCTGTCGGCGTCCATCAATGGGGAACCGATACCAGAGCGTATCAAGGTAGCCACGTTCATGAATGGACTTAGGCATGGCCCATCGCGTCAGGCCCTTTTCAGAAAGGTGCCAGCGACGATGGAAGAGGCAATTGACATTGCCTTAGTTGAGGAGCAATCCTACAACAGCGCCTCGGCGCCAGCCTATTACAGGCCGTCGTCCGAGAGGTCTGATGCCACTCCTATGGAGTTAGGCAATGCAGATGTGATCTGCTACAAGTGCGGCAAGCGAGGCCATATGATGGCTCGCTGCTATGCCAAAGTAGCTGCTGGTGCTAAGGCAGCCATCAAAAGGTCTCCCAACCCGAAGGGAGGTGCGAAAAACCAGCGTGTACGACGCACGGGTTCAGCACCTGCCCAAGATGGGTCGGGAAATGCGGGAGCGCAGTAGGAGCGGGATGCCCTACTGTCGCGGACTCTGAAGCTACCCCTAAGTTAAGATTGATCGAACAAATGAGTAGCATAGTCCCTGAGGTTCCGAAAGGTCGGACCTCAACCCTTTTGGTCTATATCGCTCGCGTACGAGCTATGACCAAGTGATGAACCTTCTCGTGGATTCGGGTGCATCACAAAAATTTGTGAAGCTCGCGGCTCTGAATAAGAGACCGGCGAGTTATGAGTCGCTTTGCTAGGATGGCAAGCGAAAAGAGGCGATCGTTGGATTAGAGAACGGCGCGCTCGTTAAATCGGAGGTAATTCAAGTTGAACTCACCTTCAGTTTCAGCGACTTCTCCTGTAAAAAGAAGTTCACAGTGCTAGGTATGGAGAGTCCGTATGACCTCATCCTAGGAATGCCTTGGTTGGCTAAACACCAACCATGGATAGACTAGCGTACACGCACAGTCGCTAGCTCTACGCAAGACACCGGAAAGGATGTGCTCTTGCGAGAAGCTTATGTGGCTGATGCTGTGTCCAACACAGTCGAGGGTGCGATGACGGTATGTCAATCGACACCAGGAACTACCCAGCTCGAAAGGAGTGGTGTAGTTGGGAGTGCACTGGCGGAAATCCAGGTGACACATATTCCTACCCAGGTCGAAAGGACTGGTGTAGTGAATGGGGCGATGACAGATAGTCATGCATCCAATAGTCCTGCACAGAGCCGAGAGCCTGTGGCAGTTGATGGTGGGCTGACAGCAAGTCAAGCGCCACAAGAACCGGCACAGAGCCAAGAGCCTGGTGCGGTTGGAAGGAGTGCGTTAGCTGAGGTAGCAACGACACCTTCTTCCAGGTCAAAGGTCGTGGTGACTCGAAGAACGAGCACCAGACGTATTAAGACGATCAAGGGCACGTCGAAACGAGTGACCCTTGGATCAGTCTCGGTCCAAGAGGACGGACCTACGAACGAGTTGTTCGAGGCCGTCGAAGACAAAATACCGGAGGCATCCTCAGTTGAGGTGCTCCAACTTGTCTTGGCATCTGCCGAGGAGATAGTAAATCTCTCGGAGATGACGTGGGATCGGTTCCTGTACGAACTAAAGGAAGGAAAATCCACGTGATAGTCGCACCAGTTACAGAAGAGAATGTAGGGGCTTTTGCTCGTCGTCCACAATGGACTAGAGCGTCTTGGAAACCGACAAAAAGAAACTGTTCGCTGCTCAAGGCTGGGATGCCTTGAAGTACAGCCCGTTCTATGATGTTCTGTGGAAACACCGTGATGTGTTTCCAGCAGAAGTGCCGAGCCGCCTACCGGCCGATAGGGGCATCAGGCACGAAATTGACCTGGAGCCTGGCAACAAGTATTGTGTGACCAGGCAATGGCCGTTGCCGAAGGACAAGTCGATTACATCGATGAGTTCTTCGACAAGCGAGCCAAGGCGGGACATGTACGTGAGAGCAAGTCGCCTCACTGCAGCCCGACCTTCTGTGTGCGTAAAGCAACAGGTGGATGGCGCGTGGTTCATGCTTACAATAAGCTGAACACGGCCACCATTCCAGCTCAAACGCCGATCCCGCGGAAAGATGTCTTGTTGAATTCCATGGGAAAGTCAACTATCTTTTCCACGTTGGATCTGAAGGATGGCTACTATCAGGTTCTCATGAGAGATACCGATGTAGCCAAAACGGCAGTAAGCACCCCAAGCGGTAGTGGCTTGTGATGCCACAAGGGTTGACTAATGCTCCGGCAACATTCAACCGAGTGGTGGCTCACGTGATGCGTCAGCACCGTGCCTACGCGCCCCATTACTTTTACGATGTATTCGTGCATAATAGGGCGGAGGACGGTCTGAGCGCAATAGAGTCGCACAAGCGTCATTTAGACGCTGTGTTGCAGACTCTGGGTGACGCCCAATTATACGTTAACTTGTAAAAGTGCGTAATAGGGGTCCCCGAGATACCTGTACTGGGCTGCATCGTAGGTGCACACGGTGTACGAGCAGACCCATAAAAGGTAAAGGCTGTAAAGGAATGGCCAGTCCCACGTCATGTGAAGGATCTGCGCCAATTCCTTGGGCTCGCTAATTACATGCATAAGTACAGCAAGAATTATGCGGAGCAGACCAATCCATTTTCTGACCTTTTAAAAAAGGATACAGAATGGACTTGGTCAAAGAAGCAAGAAGATGCGTTCACTTCAGTGAAGCAATCTCTTGTAGAGGCACCGGTCTTGGCATTGCCAGATGCGGATAAGCCCTTTAGCGTCGTCTGCGATGCAAGCAATTTTGCAATCGGCAGCGCGCTCATGCAGAAAGATGACAGCGGCGTTGACCGTGTCATTTCTTATCAGTCTCGGCTTTTAAAAAGCTGCCGAGATGAATTACCCTGTGTATGACAAGGAGCTACTTTCAATTAAGTATGCCCTTGTGAAGTTTCGGGTGCACCTCTTGCGCACCGAACCTTTTGTGGTTTATAC